CAAAAAGATAAGAAATTCCATATTGATGGATGGCATGCCTGCGAGAATGTCCAAAAACAACTGTCAGCATCCTCAAAAAAGAAGGGCAGTGAAAAGTTGAGTCAATGGGTTCCCCCAATCACAAATCACTTTTGGGGAGTATCGAGACTTGCCAGGGGAATGCAGAAATCCCGAAGGAGAAGTGGTTGTCAATAACAAACCATGTAGTAGATAGACTTTCCAACCAACAGAATGTTCAAAAAATGCTAGCATGATGCTCTCACTAAAGGCGGGCGACGAAAAGAGTGGCTCACTCCAGGTTCTCCACCACTCAATGAATTGCTAAAATAGTTCATTACACAAGGTTGCTCAAGACTGTTCCTCATCTTACAGACTGTGTACGCACCACAGCACTAGCGGCATACCACTCCCTTTACCTTATACACTTACCTAAGCATACACACTTTTCCCACGAGGTAGTGGAGGAAGCAACAAAGCTCATTGCTCTTGATCATAATCACAATACGTCACGACAACAGGTAAGACAATAACATGTACTGTACAATTGTCAACAATTTATCCTAAAAATTACACAAGTGCTCTCTCGATGTTATGTAATTTGACAGTTAATCCAGTTGTTTCCCAAATTAGAGAGTACATGTATGTACCCCTATTGTTAACTATAATGTGCGTATCTACTTTTTGAAAACACCCGATTCCCTCGGTACTCAAGGTAGCAGAGCAATATTCAGTTGACAGTTCAGCACGTAAATTAATAGTGAACTTTATTCCAGAAGTCATGCCTATGATTTGACCAAACACCTATTGGGTAGGTCCCAAATAAAGCATGCACATATTTGGTAACATAGCACTGGGATCACAGGTATGCTTTGTGATATTTCAGGCAACAATCTAAAGTGGCCAGACGGAGGGGGAGCTGAGATATAAAATTGTATGGAGAAAGGTTACTACGCGACATGATGCTAAGCCTGTGCTCCAGGAAATGCTAAGTGATGTTATTTCCCAAACTGAGGAAGTGAGCATTAGCAAAATCACTAAATATACTTACTATAAAAGTGAAACCGGACGTAGTAGCCCGGATTATAAATAACAACTGGTACACTTCATGAGAAAATATATACATATTTTTAATGAATCACATGGGAGCTTAAATTAAATATATACGTACTCATTTGGAAATTCAGTAGCAGTCAAATCCATGCCTTGCATCAAATGTTTTATGCGGATAAGGGTTGTCTTAAGCACTGCTGTATTTAAACAACCTGCCCTAAAATCATCGTGTGTGTAATACAGGTAATCGGTTCGCTGTTAAAGTCAGCTAGTGCTGATGCTTCAGCAACCTCTCTACAACACAAACATTCTCGGGGGTGGCTCAATGTCGTTGTGGCGCAGTTCGAGCATTTGCACCACTCCAGGATCAATAGACGTCCGAAAA